TGCTTTTCCTTGGGCTTATGACTAGCACCCCTTGGAACTCAGCTTCCTCATCTATGAAATCAAGGTGGTACAGCCTAATTATTCCTGGAAAAATGTGGGGTTATGTAACACACTGGAAAGATGTTCCAAGTGCATAGTGATGCTGTCATTCCATGTGAGGACACTGCTTCAAGGACTTAGCCAATATCCTCCACCTAGATGGTCATGGGCGTTAGCTTCATTCATTAGGGGCCAAGAAGGTGGGTTCTGACTTGATTTGGGCTTTAACTTAGTATGTAATTCTCACCATTTCCCTCCCTCTTTGTATCTCAATTTCTCAAGTATTTCTCAGGATTATGAGACTCAGATGAAATCAGCTATCTGAATGGATTTTGCAAAGTAGTAGCAAAGCTTGTCATCTACAAACTATTGATAATCATCTCCTTAGTGGAATGGACCTTGGACAACAGTGGTTCCCAGCAGCTGCAGGGTGCTTACTCTGTGCCCTGAACAGTTCCAAGTGGTCTCCAGGGGTGAACTAGTTAGCCAGCCCACACGACAATATTTAAAAGCCAGTGTGACTGCCATCTCTGCTTTTCAAATGAGAACAATGAGATGATGCACTTTCCAAAGATCACATAGGCAATCAAAGGCTGGTGGCAAAGCACTTGACCTATGCTGGTATTCAGCCAACCCTCATGACACAGATGGTGAAACTCATGGGGTCACAAACCTGAGGCATCAGGGGGAAATAGCATACATTCTGAGACCACCCCACATTAAGCAAGTGTTCATACTCCTCTTATGTCCTCTGACTCCTGTGACACTAGAGGCAGACACTAGACCCACTCTAATGCTGGGGAACTCAAAGACATAGCAACATAATTAACTTACTTGAGGTCTCCAGCTTAGCAAGTATAATAGTAAGACTAGACGTCAAAACCTCTGCTCTTTCCATCTTGTAGACTTGGTTGGGACCCACCCTGATGCCAAGCATACACACTCCCCCACAAGGACCATATGGCACTCTTTGCCAACAAGTTCAAAGTCTTATCCTGATAGAAGAAAGGCAGCACTGGATATATCTTTCAGGCCAGAGAGTCTGCTACACTGGCAAATACTTCTTTTAGCGACTGAGCAGAGATGGCCCCTCGACGTGATGAGTTATACATCACAGAAAGACAAGCTCCCGGATGGTAATGCTGGCAGAGTCTGCCTTGGTGAATCTAGGAGCAGGTGGTGTGGAAATTAAAAAGCAACTGGAAAACAGAGGAAATTGTGGCATACTTCATTTGAACTGATAGGCAATCTTTGGTCCACTCCCCTGGAAATCACTTGGGGATAACCCAGCCGTTATTAAATATGGAAGACCCTTCGTTTCTAAGAGCCTGTGCCAGAGTTTCTGCTTAGCAGCATGTCAGCTTCACAGAGCCTGATTTAGGCCTGATAGGAGAGGCTGCAGTAAATCCTGTCACTTAGCACTAGGCCAAAGAAGACAGTACCTTCTGGAAAATATAATGGGGCTGCAGATGGAGCACACAGGTGCCTGGAAACGCTGAGATATAGAAGAGACCAGAGTGACTAAGTTACTCATATCTTCCAGGAAATAATGTTTCAGTAATGAAATCCCAAGTCTTGGACACTGGTCAGAGTTGTAAGGCTATTGACACTGTGACCAGAAAGTCTTCTAGCAATCACCTACATTTCTACACCAGACTCCTGACCTTTCTTCATATATACAATACTCTGTGATGACACATGAGAGATCGGGCTTAAAATCCAGGCTCTTGCTCGCCTCATGCACTGACAACCCCACTATGATAAACACATGGATCATGGGACTAGGAGCCATCTCAAGTCCCTCTGTTGTAGTCTTCATCTAGCTCTGCCTAACATGCTGCAATCTGTAAGACAGCCGGGATTCAGCTGTCTCCTCTACTTCTTCTCATTCCAGTTGCCAACATCTCTCATCTGGACTAGGCAAAAGCCTCCTCAGTAGTCTCCTACTTTGTCATTAGCATTTCTAGGATTTGAATGTGTCCCCCAGCAATCCTTTGCAGGTAACACTATCCCCAATGCATTAGTTGGGAAGTGGTGCCCACTAAGGGGCTATGCTTGGAGCGGACTGATGCAGTTATCAAGGGAGTAGAGCTGTGATCACAGGGGTGAGTTCTAATTTATTCCAGCATGGTCTCCTCGTGCTTTTACTCTTGGCCTCCCTATTTTCCCATGGGCTGACACGGCTTGAAGGTCCTTGTCAGAGGCATGACATTGCTCCTGGACTTAACCACTTCCAGAACTAACAGATAAATAAATGAGTCTTCCTAACATATTACTAAGTATTCTGCAACTGCAACAGAATAGAACACCACACATTTAAGTGCCAATCAAATCATGGCATGTCTCTGCATGAGCCTCCAATGATTCTCCACTTTGGTAAATGAACGAATTCAGCAGGTAAAGGCATTCCTTGCAATGCTTGACAGTGTGAGCCCATGACCCACATGATGGAAGGAGAAACCATCTCCCACAGCTTGTCCTCTGCCCGCCACACTGAAGCCATACCACTTATGCACATGCACGTGGGCATACACCACACACATAAGATAACAATTATTTAATTAATATGTTTCCTGTCACCTTACTTATCCATCTTCATTCTCCTCTCCACCCTTTCTGCACCAGATTCACTGGCTCACTTGCTATGCATCAGACAGTCTCCGTGCTAGTGTGGACCACAGAGGTAGAAGCCAGCAAAGCTGCCAGAATGTGTAAAGAGCTGTGAGAGAGCAGGCTTTGTCACCTACCTCAAGAGTGTCCAGTCTAGTGAGTGGGACACAGTTTATCTAGAGTTGATGGGAACAACAAATGGGATATTTGCAGAGAGGTTGAACACAAATTACACTTCTCAGAAAAGCAGGGCAGCCTAAGCACATACTGTCCGAGGGTGACTTTCATGCGCCACTGTTTAAGGTGGTCTACTCCATACACTTCAGCTGAAAAATCTAAAACAAAAACACAACAAAAACATCTGATTCCTTAGCTCCGTGCATAAAGCCTGCCTGCTCTCATGAGTCCTCAATTCCTGGCAACCACACACTTCTTTGTCTCCTTTTAGGTCCCCTGACTCTAGCCATAATGACTTTCTAAGAGCTACCCAAATTAACTGTGCAGTCCTGGCCTTGAGCACCTTCAAACTGCTGTTCCCTCTAAACAAAACACTAATCCTTTCTCTTTCACCCACCCTCTTGACATTCAAAAACTGGCTTGAATCAAGCTGAGGTTTTTTTTGTTTCCCAATGCCTCTCTTATCCCCAATATACCCACATGCAAAACACACACACACTCATCTGACAGAGAAATTTCTTCCCTTGGTTACTATAGTTCTGCATACTTAATTACCAAACCACTCGACTTATCCTAGAACTATTGCCTAGTGCAGTCTTCAGCCACCAAACACAGAGTTCCTTGTGACAGGGACCAGTTCTTGCGCTTCTGTGGAACCCCAGCTGTGTCAGGTTCCTCTCAGCCCCGTGCATAATGAGCAAGTGGCTGAAGGAATGACAGCGGGTGTCCCATCCACCCGTGCAGGCTCCACATCCTGGAGAGATAAAGCCAGGACCAAGCTCACAGGAAATGAGCCATGGGAACATCACCCACGTGTGCAATTGAGTGCAGGGATGTGGGGTCAGGCATAAGAATCAGAGAAGACAGAGCACATGGTAGACTCCAGGGCAGGGTGGGCTTCTGTGAGAGTCCTGGTGGAGGCGATGGAGCTCCTGGACTGGAAGAAGACATAATAGGTGGAAAGGAGGACAACTCTTCCCATTAAAAAGAAAGAACAATTCAAGAAGCTGAGCTATCCACTATTCCCTGCAGTTTCCATAGCTAGCTTTTGCCATGTCAAAATGGAAGGAGGCCCCTGAATAGCCTGACTGAACCATAGCAAATGAAATAGGCAAGATGCAATTCTCATGTCAACTTTCTCCCTCTTTTCCCTTCCAACTTTCCAAAGCATACAAGGAATCCCATCATATTGACAGTGAAGCGCACCCTCATGTTAGATTGGTAGAACTTCAATCCTAGCTGTAACAACTACTTGCTTTGGTTTTTCTCCTCTGTGCAGCGGAGCTGATCATAACAGCACCTGTCTTACAGGGCTGTGGCAACGTTGAAGCAAGACATACAGAATGTACAGAAAGTATTCAGTAATTGTATTGCTGTGAATTGATGTGTTATTTACAATGGAGCAAGGAGTACACGTACTCCACTTCTCAATAGCTTTCTGACCTTAAAGAAGTTGTTTTTACCCACCCCCTTCTTCTGTAACACAGAGATAGTAACAGTCTTACATGAGAGAGTTATTGAGAAAAATAACATACTGAATCATGGTAAATCACTCAGGACATTTACTGGATTATAGTAAGTATCATCTAAATATTTGCAGAACAAATACATTATTGTTTTCATTAGGAACCAGAAGTTAAATAGTCCCCCTCCTGATTTGCACCCCAGAAACCATAACAGTGACTGACACAGGCCAAAGGAACATTGGAGCTCCCTGGTGTCTCCCAGTTAGTGACCTACAAGCCCCAACCCTTTCTCTCTGCATGCTTTTCTGGCTTCACAGGAATCAAGCAGTCCCTGGCTTTCTGAGAAGGTCCCCAGAGGCTTGACAATATGTAACAAAGTGGTGGAAGGGAGAAAAGCCAGCAGAAAAGGGCTGACCCAGTGGGCTGCCTACTGCCCTGGGATCTATTTCCCAGTGTCAGGGAAGTTGCTGACTTCAGCCATTCCAGAGTGAAGCACTATCCATGGCCAGAGACAGCACCGAGCCAAGCACGCAGCACAGCCGTAAATCTGCAAGCCGATTATTTAAGAGAACTGACTTTCTGTGTTGTGATATTAGAGCAAATCTGCCTCCTGCCTATAAATCAGCAGAGCCGTTTCCAGCTTCAGGCTGGCTGGAGATGCACGTGCCTGGGAGGCACAGAATGAGAAAGACTAAGAGATGTACTTACCTCCTGGCTAAACGGTTCTCGTGACTCTGCCTGGACTGCACACTCTTTCCCTGTCCCATGACCTTGGGTCCCAGCATCTCCTCTGGGGAGCTTCAGAAACACCACAGTAACACCTATGCTGACACAAGCGATCTGTGATCAGATGGAGCAGATAACCTTAATCCGCTTAGAGTTCATGAAATCAAATAGCAAAGATATTAAGTGAATTTCCTGGGACCACACAGTGTGTAGGCAGAGTGCAGATCAGACCATGTCTCACAGCTTTCAGTCCAGAGTTGTTTCTATGACATTCAGTCAATCTTATCATATCTTCATGTGAGGGGCCTGGGATATGGCTCTTTGGGTAAAGTTCTTGTCACACAAATGTGAGGAAAGAAATTCAAATCCCCAGAATCCATGTATAGCCATGGCAGCTCAATTCTAACAGGAAGCAGAGATAGGAAAGTCCCTGCAAGCTTATGGGCCACCTAACCTGGCACCGACCTCCACACATGCACTCTGACACATATGTACCCACGCTCACGCACATCAAGGCATAAACAGAGAGAGTTTCTTTCCATGTGTGATCCTAAGAATTGTGGGTAGCAGCCTAGAAAGAAAATATTTCAGCTCAGAGCTCGAATGAACATTGCTTTGGGTCTGCTCTGCAGATGATGCCTTGTATGTGTCAAGAAACCCGCCACTATCACACCTATCCTCGGCTTCCCCTCACCAGGAACAAAACTGAGGTTCTCAGCATGAGGCACAAGGGTCTCTATGTTCTTGGTCTTCCATTTACCTTTGACTCTATGTCCTGCAAATACAGAATGTGACCCTCACTTCATCCTTCTGTCCCGGGAGAAGTCTCCCGTGACCTACCTCCTGTCCCCAGGACGGATGGAAGTTCCTCTTCACTCTCCTTCTGTCACCTTCTGCCTGCCCTTTCGCAGTGTTTTCCATGTGCGTATGCCTCTTTCCTTTAGATGACCTCTGTGCAGACAGGAAGACTGCAGCATGGCTGTAGGTAACACAGCAGGAATTTAACAGGTGCTCCTGGACTTGAACCCTCACCAGCATCCTACACAGTGAACAGTTCCTCAGTGCTTTGTGGAGGAGATAAAAGCTCAAACACAATGAGCAGATGCTTTGGGATGGTCCCCAACTAAGATTGCAACTGGATTCTACCTACCATGCTGTATCCAATACTCATATCCTTCTCCCTTGTCTGATTTTATCTTCAACACATCATTGGAATGGCTTTTCCAATTCAAGCAAACACACTGAATTTCATCTTGCCTTTAAGTGTCATCCCAGACAGAGGAAGAAGAGGTGTGTACCAAGCATCTCATCCCTCCAGTCAGCATGCCTCCATCATCTCTAAGAGATGACCCTGCGGTTACCCTTGAGTAACTCCTGTCCCTTGCACTCACTTCCTCAGAGGGTTGACTATGAATAACGGGCTAAAAACAAAGGCAGGACATTTGTATTAACTCACAGTTATGGAGTTTTCTCTGTGTCGGCCACCTCTCTATCTGTCTGCCAAGGATGAGGGCTGAGCAGGGATACCCAAGGCAGCAAGATGACAGACAGAAACTGGCCTGAACCGCTCTTGCTCTCTCTCCTCCCCTCCCCCCTCTAAGCACTATAACAAGGCAAACAGTTTAAGAGAGGTACTGATTTTTGAGAAATCTTACAAAAATATTACTTTATGTACTTAGGGCCCTAAGCAATTTTGTTTCTAAAAGTTGCTGACAAAAAAAAATCTCCTTGCATTTCAATGCAGAGAAAATAAGCAGGCTGTAGCCAAATTCATTTATTTATTTCATAAAATGACTGTAATTTGGAAATCACTAATGTTATTTTCTCCCAATTCAGGTTAATGTCTTATACATGGCCCCTGGAAGGACGTTTCTTGCAAAGAGAGTTATTGGCTTTTTATTTAAAATGTTCTGGATGGGTGATTTGTGGGTATAACAAACCTAAATAATTTAAAGTAGTCTCTATTTGCTGAGACCTGCAGTGTTTCTTTTTTTTTTAGAGCAGATTTTAAATCTTTAAAGTTTCAGAGATTAAGATAGATTGGACGGGGATTTATTTGTTGCAGGAATTTCTTTTTCTCGTGCTGCTCCTTTCCCAGCATCCATTCTTTTTGCTTGCCTCCATCTAGATTCATGTAACATCAGAGCTGGAGGACACTGTACACGGCCCTCCTTTATAATGTGAACTTTCAGACTTCCTTCATGGTTGAATCCTCTATGCAAAGTAAATCTTGGCGCTTTAGCACCAAGGCATAGCAGAAAGGCATCGCAGCCGTGACTGGGGCTGCATTCTCTTCTCAGCCTTTTATGCTTAAGCAGTCTCCCCGAGGCCCTGAGCGGACCATGGTGAAGCCAAAAGGTGAGGGTTCGCGTACCCAGGGTGCCCCCCGTGAGCACAAGGCAGACTCAGCCTAGAGCGGCCCCTCTTGATTGACACCGCATACCTCCCATCAGCTGGCGCTCCTCTTTGCTCTTGGTTTTTGCGTCTCTTCGCAGTGATGCAATGAGGCAGTCCCGCCCAGGAGCACAGCATGGAACTCACATGTGGTGATGGCCATACCGCTGCTGCTTGACCCAGGGCACACACGCTGGGCAAGGACTCCTAGCACATACCTGTCCCTCAGCAGCCATCCCTGCCTCAGCAAGGCCGGGGGAGCATGTCATTCCTAAGCAAGGCACGTTTTCCTGCAGTCCCTCTTCCGAAGAGCAAGTGGTGACGGTGCCTGAAATGCATAGTCAGCAAAAGACCAGCCACTCTGCCTGCAACGGCCCTGCAGAGACCCACTCCAGGCTCTGTCCCGATCATTCTGGATAGATGCTCAGCCTTTCCCTTGGAAACTGCTATATTCTGTGCCAGCTAGTAACTACCACAAGGCTTTTCTCGGTCCCGCAAGCCACATGGACTCCAGATGAAGCCAAGGTTTTTGGTTCAGTTTTGTGCTTTTCTAACAGCAGAGGTTATCTTGGTACAGAAAAGGGTGTTTGTCCCCCCAAAAACACCTTAATGGATTTAGGTCTCAGTTGAGACAATGGAGTCTTAAGAAGTTCATTTCCACTGCATGAGGATATTGGCAGCATGCTGTTTTGTTTACTACAGATAATAGGGGAGACAGGACAGAAATGCTTCCACCAGTCATGAGCCTGTAGTCTAATTTGTCAACTTGGCTAAAGAATTTTGGAGAGAGAAACAAAAACAAAGAAACCACTTACAAGATGTTTTCCAGTGCTGCCTTGTGCAGGCCTAAGTGCTTTGATTGGATGGTTTCTCTGGTAGAAATTTAAACAGGTGTCTCCTTCTTCAGGTAGGATTAGAGACAATGAGGCTCATGACAGGGCAGAGAAAATGCATACAGGGAGACGGTTTAATTAAAACTAGAACCCAGCTCCAGAGTGGGCTCCAGAATCCCTCCTCTTAGAGGACAAGACGCTTTTATCGTCCTTGACATGCGGGCTATGTCTGTCTATCCTGTCTCCGTTTTAAATGGGTAGAAACACCACTTAAGGTCAGCTTTATAAACTCCCTTGATAGAGCATGTAGCACTGTGGAATTCTGGGCTTTGTCAGCACTGACAAGAGTAGTCTGCAGAATCACACATGGTATAATTGCAGCTTCAGCGTGCTCAGAGTTCTGATTCCCTGGCAATAGCTTTCCTTCTTTTCAGGGCATGTGTGGAAATCCCTCTAAACTCTCACAGGGCCAAGTGTGGTTAGACACATCCCAAGGCAAAGCAAGAGCCCTGTGTGGCTGCAAAGCACCAGCTATCACTCACAATAAAGAAGGACCATAACCAACATTGTCAGTCTTTGAAAAGCATCTCCAAGGTATTTCCAAGCCCTAGAAACAGATGTGGGGATGTGCGGATATCTTTCCTGTGCATATAAAGCCTGTCTGGGGGTCAGAGAATGGAGCCTGCCACTAGCTAACCATAGAGGTCTGAATGTCTGTACAGACAGACAGGAAGTGACGTAGCTGGGCAGAAATAGGATATAAGCAGGGAGAAACAGGAAATCGCTCTCTTCTCTGCTGAGATGCTTAAGAGGTAAGGTGTGCTGTGACTTACTCCTTCTCTCTGATCTCTCAGCATTTCCCTCTATATCTGACTCCAGCCTTGTATTATCTAGACCAACTAAGAAATTAAGAACTCTATTTGCATGGGGACTACATGGATTAAAATCAGATCCAAAGCAGAGAGAGCACTGCAGTGTTTGAGGGAGTTGCATACTAGCCACCATAGGAAGCAGAAAAGACACTGGAGCTTATAACCAACGTTCTCAAGATGATGATGGAAATAAAAAGGCTTCTCTAGGGATACATGGTGGGTAAGGCAGAGAGCCAAGAGTAAGAGTTGGGATAGAGAGTGGTGAGTCTTGTCCTGAGAACGGGGATGAGTCAGGGCTGGCAGTATCGAGCAGGCTAACCCCCATCCATTCTCCGAAGTTTTCTCCAGTACACAGGCCAGTTACACTTCCACTTACTTCACCTCCATGATTGGTTAATCTGCCAGAAGTAGGAAGCTGGGTGGCTAGACGGACGACAGCAGATCAGGTGGTATACACCTCTCTTCTCTGTTTCCACCACCCTCAATACTTCAGACACTCCACCCTTAGCCACCACAGACATGAACAAAGACCTTTCAGAAGACTTTGGTTGGGTTTCTTGCATAGCAAAATCCTTTCTCCAAGTTAAAAAAACAAGCCCTGTACGCCAAAGAAATCAGGGTGTACCTCAATGGCAGAATGTTTCCTATCATTTATGAGGCCCTGGCCTGGATCCCCAGAACTACAAAAACAAATTAGCAAACAAAAATCAAAGTGGAGCTAGAGAGATGGCTCAGTCTGTAAACACTTAAGTACAAGTGTGAGGACCAGAGTGCAGATCCCTACCCACCAAGTAATCACAAGGCAGCAGTGCTAGCTTGATGATAGTCTTCTCATTTGGGAGAAGAAAACAGGATCCTTAGAGCAAGCTAGGTAGCTAGACTGAGAATCGGCAAAATCTGGGTGTAAGTAAAAGAAGATGCCTGATATCAACCTCTGGTATCCAGACTCACACAAGTGTGAACACACAGAGAGAGAGAGAGAGAGAGAGAGAGAGAGAGACAGACAGACAGACAGACAGACAGACAGACAGACAGACTTGGAGTTGGTTAAAGCAAAGTGGAGGTGGTCAAGCAGTCCTAAGTTCCAGAAAGACAGAAAACTACAGGAGTCAGTTTCATCACAGAGTCAGTACCACAGGAGCAATGCCCCTGGCATTGAATGATGGAGCAGCACCCACTGTGACCTTGAAGAGCCATTAAAAAAAGAAAAATCACTGGATGGAGGAATCCCCTTCTTCTTCCAGCAGAAATGCACTACTCTGCTCTTCTGCCTCAATTCAGCCTGGTTGTCTCCGAGGGGGTATGAGAGGAGAGGACATGGGCTAGAGCAAGGAGACAAAGGGCAGGGGGAGTGAACAGTGCCCTGAACATGCTTAGCCGATGTCAACCCATGGACCTTAACCCAGAGTGAAACACCAACCAAGGAGACCATCCTGTGAGGTGAATCCTGAACGTGTATTGGGAGCTCTGAAGGGAAACAAGGGGCTGCTTCACAATCGTGTGTTGAGGAACACACACACACACACACACACACATGCACACACACAATTCAAGTACACATTTAAAATAATTTTGAATAAAAGCTGCAGTGTTTAAAGAAGTGGAAGCAAGTAGGGGGGAGGTCAAAGGGCTTTAGGGAAAGGACAGCAGGGGGCAAAAGTTTGAGGGTAGTTAGGGAGAACCCCAGGGAATGACCATGCTTTGAATCGCAGCTAAACCTTGGAAAAAACTGAGAATATTTGTCATCCTAATCTCTTATTAGTCTACCTATTTCCTTCTGTTGGATAACGGTGAGAATGAGAACTGGAAATGCCAGAATATTGAGGCCCTCAGGCCTACCTGTCTGCAAGCAGCCAAGGGGAGGGGAGGTGTCCGAATAATTTCAGAGCAGCTGAGAACAGCAAAGTCCTGGGGAGCGCCCCCCCCCGAGGTGGTCGTTGTGTGCAGGAAGGACTGGAAGAAGAAATGAATGATTGCCAGCTTGCTAGCTTGACTGGTTATCCATCAGTGACTCCGTCTGAAAACTAAAAATGAGTTAAAAGCCCTCAGCACAAGGTTGGATGGCCTCCAGCTTCGTCACTCACACCCTCCCTACTTCCTAATGAGCATCTTCAGTCTCTGGCAACTGCAAATGTTAAAATGATTTTTTCCAACCACCAAAAGCCACCCCCTCAGTGTCCATTCACTAACCACTGCTCTACTTTCTTTGGGGACAGATGGAGTGAGCCTCCATCTTCTTACCCCTGTCTCCTCCACCATGAAAATCACCTTTGAATTTAAGACTGTGAAATTGGAGTTGTTTCCAGTGAAAAGCCCTATTGCTTAGGTTCATGGGCGCTCTACACAGAACCCTTAAATGGGATCTGCATCTCTTACTCTATGATGTAAGTCTTAATATAGGGAGTTGAGTTTAAAAAAAAAAAACAGACTCTTGGCAAGTGGGGCCAAGCTTGAAGTTCAGTTTGAAG